TTTTAACCGTTTAGTTTATTCGCTTAGTAGATCTATCTATCTCTAGGTGATAAGCTATAGATAGTTACTATATAATACCTAAGAGTTAATAGATCCTTTTCTATAGTATACTTACGAATTAGGGGCCGCGATCTAATATAATTACTAATAGTAGTCTATATTACTAATAGAATGTCCGTAGGAAGACTTCTACTACGTCTTTTAACTTAATCGTACGTAACGGTTCGAGTAAGACTCCTTTCTCTAGTTAATCTATAATAACTATAAGGTTCGTATAGCCCTAACTTTCTAGGAGTTCTATAATAAAATCGACTAATACTTCCTTCTATAGTTAATTAGGGATTAGGAGAGGCTTTAGGAACCTCTATTTCTATTCCTTCTAGGTCTTTATCCGTCTATAGATATCGTAATTCCGTATAAATCTTCGAATATCTTATAGTATATTTAGCTAGAAGAACTACCTTACTATTAAGATTATTATCCCTTCTTAACCTAAGTAACTAATAACCTTTAAGTCGTATACCTATTAAATAATTACTATACGGAGAGCCTCCGATTCTAGTACCTAACGCTATCCCTAAAATAGTAGTTACCCTTCCTCGTTAAGGGTATATTCTATAATTAATACTTTTAGACCTAGGCTAGAGGGGAACATACGGGCTCCTCTTTATATAGACTTAATAGTCTCCTAATATATCTAGTCGTTCTATTAAGTCGATCTTTATTATTCTTTAATTAATAGTCCTTCTATTAATATTATATTCACTTATAGCGCCTTAGATCCCGTTCTATCTAGTATCTCTAGCTTAATAAGGCGCGCTATACGATACTAAAGTCTTTCGTCCTCTTAGTCCTAAGATATATTCTACTCCCTCCGGGAGAGGGCGTCCGCTTGAATATTTTACCTTCTAGGGACGTATAAGATTATAAAGTTATACCTCGATAGGATAAGGGACTAACGTATTTATCTCTTAGTGAGTTTTCGTACGAATATAAAGTATTCGAGATTCTTATAGTCGGACTAAATCTCGAATTTCTTAACGCTCCGTAGTTCAGTATCCTATTTCTCTAGATATCGTATAATAGTGAGTATTTCCTTATCGTAGATCTTATAGTTACATTCGGCTAAGTAATTCTTCTTTAAGAAGAAGGTATAGGGGCGTATAACTCCCTTATTGTTAACTTAGAAGAGCGTCTCCCTAATACACTATTTTAACGCGTTAACTTCTATAATAGTCTCTCTCTTATAGTCGAATAGGATTAATATTAGAGCCGTTATAAATATCCTTTTTAGTCGTATAAAGGCTTAGTCCGCCTCTATTATCTATTGAAACATTATATCCTTCCGTATAAGAGTTATAATAGGAAGTATAATCTTAGAGAAGTCTTATATAAACTTCCTATAGAAGTTCGTAAATCTAATAAAGCTTTATACTCCCTTTATTAATTTAGGGACTTCCTAGTTAAGGATCGTCTTTATCTTCTCTAGATCTATTTATACGCCTTTCTCTACTTTAATAATAAATCCTAGGTATTTTATTAACTTAACCTTAAATTCACACTTATTAATATTAATCTATAGTCCTACCTTACGTAGGCGTTTAAGGACCTTCTAAATATAACTCCGGTACTCTTCTAATAACTTATATAAATAGATTAGGATATTATTAATATAGGCTAAGTAGAAGACGTTAAGATAGTCGCGTAAGGTCTAATTAATGTATTTCTAGAATGTACTAAGTGTATTCGCTAATCTAAAAGGGATAATAAGCTATTTATATAGTCTATATCTCGTATAGAACGCTATCTTCTATTTATCTCCTTCTATAATACGAATCTAGTAGAATACTATAATAATATTAAGCTTTATATACTATTTAGCTTATCTAATATTCTATAGTATTTTATAGATTAATAGTAGAGGGTACTAATCCTTCCTTATAATCTTATTTAATCCGTAATAGTCTATATAGAATCGTAATCCTCCCCCTAGCTTCCGTATAAAGAGGACTAACGCTACCGTTAGTGAGTTACTTACCTAGATAAACCCCTTATCGAGTAGCTCTATAAGTATCTTCTATAGAATAAGTAGTTCTTCTCTTAATATACTATATAGCGGGCCCTAAGATACCTTAAGGGTTCTCCTATCGTCCTATATAAGGTCTATTATATAGTCTATCTCTTTCCCTTAGAGCGGTAGTAGTTTATCTACTATTATCCTATTAAATACGTTAAGGAAGGGGTATAGGTATTCTAGTAGCTTTATATGGAGGTCTATTATCTTTTTAACTACTAGGGCTTTATCGATATTAACTAGACTAATAGCGAATACTTATATACCCTTCTACTTATATTATTATCGCGTAAGTAGAGAGAAAGCTACCGCGCTTATAAGGCTATAGTTAACCTTTAGGGGAGTCGCCTTTAATTCGTTTTATATACGTATCCTCTATAGTCCTAGGTATAAATAGGACTCCTTTAGGTAAAGCCATATATTATTCCGTTTTATCTAAGGAAGTCCTAATATAATATTGTACGAGGCTAAGTTTAGGACGATATATAGGAAGGTAATTTCCTTATATCTATTAATATTAATCTCTAATTTAGCTACTTTTAAGATTAATAAGTTTATTAATTCATTAAATTCTATAATAAGTTAAGAGGGAATCTATATACGCTAAAGATTCTATCGAGAAGTAAAACGAGCGTTAATAAGATTATATAATAAATACCTAGAATCTATAAGTATAGATATAGAATACTCTTTATTTACTATTAAAGGTACTAAGAAAGATAACTCGTTTATTAAGTCTTAAAATCCTCGCTAGACTTCCTAAATCTTCGTACGCTCCTAATAGCGACTTTTATTAGGAGCTACTTATTTTTTAGATCCTCTTTACCCTCTTCTTCTATAGTTATAGCCGTAGCTACCGTACGTCCTACTTAAGGACGTATTACTAGGAGTAGAGAGTATTAGTATATAAAGTGTTCTCCTAATCTATATCGAAGATAGCGTCCTACTTCCTTTCGCTTATCTAATATTTCCTTAGATACTTATTAAGTACGCTACGTACGTATAATAGCCGCAGTAGTAGCGTCCAACGGCTCTCACTCTATTATATCTTCCGCTAGAGTAACCTTAATTAGCATTAACGAGCCCTTTATCGTATAGGGCTTATCCCGTCCCTTCTTTCATTAGAGGTTCTCTAGGTTAGTACTGACGGTATGAAGTAACGTATAGTACTCCTTATAGGACCTAGGGATAGGGGTTACTATAATCGCATTCTATAGCTCGTATAATAGATAGTTAGCTAGGAAGGTCTTCTTAATCTAGTTATCCTAGCTAAGACCGTTAGCGTCTAGTATTATACGGTCGAATTCGGCGAGAAACGTACTAAATGTCTTTATCCCTTACTATATAAAGCTAAGTTTCTAAGATACTTACTTAGCGGCTTTATAGTCTTCGTACGCTACCTATAGTTACGTAAAAAGACCTTAAACCGTTATCTAGTCTATTAAAGTAACTACGTCTACCTAGGCATTAACTTACGTAAGGGCTTCTCCTCGTAGTCTACTATATATATACTAAAATCGTACGATCTTAGTATCCTTATCCTTATCGACACTAAGCTTCGCCTTTATCTACGTAAGCTATAGTTAAAATTCTATCCGCTTTCCGCTAAACTTAGGGAGTTTAGGGAGTTTCCGATATTTCTAATCTAATAATTCGCGTACGGCTATTAGTTCCCGTACATTATTATTCTCCTATAATATTAACTTAGGAGTAGAGATACTCCTACTATTCTACTAGTTCTAGAGTAGCTACTCTAGACCTTCTATTCGCTAGTTCTATATCTAAACTATCTAATATAACTACGCTACTTACTCTAGGGGTGGAGTTAGACTTAATATAGATAATAAATCCATTTCTATTATCGATATGTATAGGGGAGGTACGAGAAATAGGAGATTTATCCTAATATAAGAGTTTAGAAAGAGTTCTATAACTAGCTAGCTAACCTAATAATAAGGAGGATAAATCTAAGGAGAGAGAAGGAAGGAATAGTTATCCTTCCTTTCTCCTTATATTCTCTAACGTACTATAAGGAGGTAACTATTATCCTTACCTCCTTACTCCTTTCCTTACGTACTTATTCTAGCTCCTTACCTTCCCTTACGTACTTATTCTAACTCCTTACCTTCCCTTACGTATAGTGTCTTAGCTATTAGGACTTTATATCTCTTATACCGTATGCGTCTTAACTAATTAGGAGGTAGTATTTCGCCTATACATTATATAGGTAAATCTTGACTAATTAGGAGATAGTATTTCCTAGCGTTAGTCTTGGCGCTGGTTCGCCAGAACCGAGCCTTCTCCTGGGTTCAACCCATCACATTAGACGGTTTATATACTAATTATAGTGCCGAACTAGTTGTACGCTACGTGATTAAATCAATACGGCGTCAATGTAGGAGGGCCGATAGGACCTAAGCTACCTAGGTATGATATAGCTACGGATAAAGGCTACATTAAGATCTAGTATTACTAGGGCCTATCGATTTTAAGGACTATAGGCGTATGGAGCTAACTCCTATCCGCCTATAAGTAAAAGCGGTACTCGCTATAATGCTAAATTAGTAGTAGTAAGGGTGGTAGCGGCCTAGGCCGCATCCTAGCGGACAATAGCTAATCGATCGTTATTCCTACTCTTTGTCAATATCGTACGCTGCTGAAGGGGGAGAGGATTAGATCGCACTGTGCCATTACAAACACTAACGTAATTAAGTTAGTAAGTATCTGATGATTAGGGACTGAGCACGTACGATTAGTGATGGTGGCGGCGGTGGTGGTGGTGTTAGTGATTGGTAGAAGGAAAGAATTTTGGGGGCGAAAAGTTTTCGCTTTTATGGTGCACGTAACTAGGTCTTAGCGTACGGAAATACTAAGAGTATCATTATGATACTAATACTATCTGATTTATACTAGTATTGTATCAGGCTTATCGATATAGTATCAAAAACCACGCTGGTCCTGAGAGGACGTGTCCATTCGCCTCCCACTTGATATCTTTCTCTTTTGCAGCGCTCGAATCCGGCTCGCCCGTCGAGCAGGGTAGACCAGAGTGAGTAGGCTGAGCAGAAGAGGGTGCCAACGCTACCAGCTCTAGCTGTCCGGACTCAGCACTCGGGTGAGTCGAGTAGCAGCGGGCAGTAGGGAAGTGCAGCTCTCGAAGAGATGGCACGAATGGCTTGGAATCAGCAATGTGTTGTCCGATGATGAACATCTCTTCCACGTTGATTGGTCCATGAAACCTGCTTGGAGGGAGGACGTCAGGCTTGAAAGGATCTTGAATGGGTTTTGACAAAGGCTTGCTCGTGTCAGGCTCGGGTTCTGCCATCTTTGCCCTGCTCTCGGACAGGGCTCCGTAGTGGTCCCAGTTTTCTCTCTTTCTCTTTCTAGCAGGAGCAACTTTTTTGTTGCGCTCGTTGTTCTTGCTGACCAGCGGCGAGCCCAAGAGGCGAAGTGATTGGGAGCGAGAGGTCTTTCTCCCCCCCCTCATGATCGCTCGCTTCGTCCATCTGGCCCATATCTTCTTCCTCGACCTCCTCGTCGGTAAGGAACGGGCTCCTTTCCAATTCATACTGCGGGCCCGGAACGCCTCGAGACGGCTCCTGCGCCGGTGGGGTGAGGACCATCGTGGGCTTCTGCTGAGGTTGACTCTGCTGATCATATGAGCCTCTTCTTCGACCTGATGCACGACGGCATGGTCTCCTGGGGACGGGAGCGCCGCCAATGGATACTCTGGAAGGAGTATGCGAGATGGTGTGGCTTGGAACAAGCGGAGTTGGCAATTCCGGCGGTTGGTTCTGGCGCAAAATGGAGCTGGATTGCCAATATGCATTCGAGGCGTGTTTGACGGCCCAAAGTCATGTGAATAGGTACCTGTTGTGGCACTGGGGTGATTGTGGATGTTGGTTTTTTGGGAAAGCCAAACAAAATGATCCCTATAGGCCCATTCGGACGGGGGGGGACTGGCAGAAGAATCCTGTCGCACAGCAGATCGACCCGTGGTTTCTGTGGTTCTTGTAGGAGTCCACCTCGGGCGAGGACAGCGCCAGGGACATGGACGACCATGACGACGACGTCGAGTGTTGCGCCGACGGGAACAGTCCCGTCGTTGCCGCCTGTGTGTGTGCTGCTGCGGGAGTCGTGGGCCCTGCGATCGCCCGGAGGGAGAGTTGGCTTCGGTAGAATAGTATTCTGGATTAGATGCAAGTGGTTCTAACACTGCTTTCTTTGGCTCCTCTTCTTCCACATGACTACTTTGTTGGCTCGGTTCAAGCATGGAGCTGGTGAACGCGTCTGAGGTCGCTTTTGGGGTGTTTGAGCCTGGACCTGGGCCTGGCCCTGTATGGCAGCAATCTGTCGAGGATCGAACTGTCGGGATACGCTCGACCGGTGTTGAGAAGCACCCGTGAGATCTTGGGGTCCTTGAGCGTGCGGTGGCTGCATCTATCCATTTGCCGCAGGATGCTGCGGCTGTTGAGCGACTGGTCCGTTGGCTGACGCGCTTCTCTGGTGGGTTGGGTCTTCACAAAAGTAATAGATGGGACGGCGTTTGGCGTTCGCACGGAGACAACAAGGTAGCTGAGGCCAGCTACATGTCGAGGAGGGGGTATTGTCATGGGCTGGCGTGGTGGCCAAGTTGCACAGCCACGTGACTGTGCAAGGTGCTTTACCAATGGCGGAGCAGGCAGTAGTTTTGATAGTCCTCAAGCAACAGCAACAGATCAATCCAGCATTGCTTCAAACAGCGAACAGAGTGCTAGTCGTGCTCGAGACCGTCTATTCTTTCCTTTGTTACTGTTCCTGCCACGCCCTGTAGGCTGTCCTGCCATCGATTCTGCTGTAGCGACTATACGCCTACCTCCAGTGTTTGGTTTGGTTTGTTTGTGTTGTTGTTGGTAGGCCAGCGAGACAGTGCCACGACCAGAACACCGCACCAATCTACCGGCCCCTGGACAGGCCCCTGTGCGTTCTTGCACGTACACGCCAACGAATTCGATCCCCGTACAATGTGAAGGAGGGGGTATGAACCTGCTGCCGCCACCATTGTTTATCCTCGTTACTTCGAGTCACAAACTTACTTCAGACAGACAGAACCGATCTCAACACACCAAACCCTACCATTACGGCCACCTTCCTTTTCCAAGCTTGCCATTGCGGCCACCTTCCTTTTGCTTTGTTGTGGGCTGGTGCTGGACCCATTTGTTCGACGTCTTGCAACAAACGCTGCCGGGGTGAACATGTCAGACATGATCTCTGCCCTCACCAAAGTCCCCAACGGGGCGTGGGTCACCCTGGCGATCTCCGTCGTGCTGGTGCTTTTCTTCGGTCTCTGGAGGTTCGGCAAAGAGGCGCAGTGGAATGCAGAGGGGCTCGAGCGGGTGCCCACGTTGGGGAAGCAATGCCCGTTTGCTTCCGGCCTTGTGTACATTCCTCTGCAAAGACAGTCGGATTGTTGGAAGGCAACGGAAATGGTCTCTGCTGGTCAGGACACACATGGTTGTTTTGGGGCCGAAACAAACGGCACAGGCCTTGTATTCTGGAGCTTCGGCAGGGAAACTCTGGTGCCAATGAAACGCGAACTACAGAGAAAAGGCAGCTGAGCAACACTGGCCCTTACTCAGCAGTCCGGGCCCAAATCAACCCCCCAGAACTCTCTTCGTCCTTCTATTCTTCCTGCTGATGGTCAACCCGCCATGAGGACAGTTCACTCCAGCAGCCTCCGGAGCATCTGGGTTGTGGTATCTCGAGGGCAATGGGCCTGTCAAGCATGATGGAGTCCAGACAAGAGCACGTTGCCACGGTACGGAGACCTCTTTGATGAAATCTCCCCATGCCGCTCACGCTCGCTGACACTCTCTCATGCAGCTCTGTACTGTCGGCACACTTGGGCCACTGGGCGAGCGACGAGCCAATCCGCTACATGCCAGATTTCCAGCATCTTTTGGAGCGGAGGAGATGGACCTCATCATGGACTTCCAACCTACATCGATCACCGCGATAGCATATCCGAAATTATGCGGTGTACAGCTCGAAGAATGGCGATGACACCTCCTGGGAGTGAAACAACAGAGAAAAAGACGCTTCGATCGGGTTTCCTGTGGGTTGAGGCAACACCGATCCCACCAACCATGTTTGCTATGTCCAGGGATGGTCCAAGACGCACACTGGCCTAACCAGGCTGCTCAATAGCACCTTAACTAGCAGAAAATGGAAAGCCGCTCCAAAGGTTCAGTCTTTACAGCCTGTGTCATCAAAGCCGATTGTCAAAACCAAGGCTTCTCCACCAACTGCCAGCCGCACCACGCGTAAACCTGGTCTCTGGCGTGCGGCAGTGCAATTAACAACGCGGCATCTGCGTATCCGCGTATCTGTTGCACAAAGCCCGGGGCAAAACCTCGAAATGCCTGGGGGAAATGGCGGCGGTTCAGACGGCCGCTGAGGCGCCGTTGATACTCTACTACACTTCATCCGTCCAACATGCAGCACAAAACCCACATCCTGCTGCTTCGTTGAGAGTCCAAGCAGCGTCACTTCACCGCAAATCCAGGGCCGTCGGCATGTTTCTGGACCATCTTTCCCTGCCCAGTGGCCACACCTTGGAAACGGAATTGCGGTGCTGCGGTGCGTCTTCCCGGCGCTCAGATACAACCTGCACGATCTGACGGGCCCTGGGCGGTCAGCCACAGCTTTGGCCGCCACCCTCGGGATCGCGGCCGTGCTCGTGTGCACCCTACGAGGTCGTCTGTGGGATCCGCCGGCTCTTTCGAGGCCTCCAGCACCTCGCCGCCGGATTGATTACGGATTGCTAGTGCGACGACGCCGCCATGCTCGCGGTTGGAGTGGTGATGGTTGTCGAGAAAGCATTGATCGCCTTCCTCAAGTTCTGCACGAAGCTGCCGCCGAAACTCGCCCGTCGATCGCCGCATATCCAGCCAAATTTGACAGTGCACGACCGCTGCTTTGGACGGGTGCCTGCATCTTGTGCGACGCTCAAGGGCGCGCCCTCGCATACGCGACATGAACACCGCCGGAGCGGCGGCGGCGTGGCCGAGCTCGACCCTTCATCAGAGCAAGAGCCTGATGCCGCCCAGATGCCACCACACGGCTGCCTCCACGAACAGAGCCCCCCTTCCCTACCTCCGCGAGGGCTTTTAGACTCGACCGAACCATTCTTGCTGTTCGTTGCTGGATGCCCACAGATCCCACCTATCCCCAAAAACGATGAGCTCGAACGCCAAGTTTTGGGCAAGCCTGGGGCTTCTCGAATCATCCTCCTCGATAACGAATCCCAGTTTCCGCTCAAGTTGGCCGGGACAGCAGCCAGATCGTGGGCGAGAACTTGATACGAAGAGAATAGCCTATCGATACCCCTTGCCTTGATCCAAACCGTCGTGTGAGGGAGGCCGAGCTCGATCCTATCGTCCATCTTCAGCAATTGCAGGGCACATCTTTGGAGCCAGATGTCAAAATGCTCCGCGGCTGGGGTCAAGGACTCGTTCTTCCAGAAGCATCTGCGTCCGTTCTTCGCCGATCTCGAGGTTCCCTCTGCGTGGTGGGCTCGTCGGTTCGTTTCTTGCAGACGACCAAGAACGCCTCGGAGGCCAAATGCTGGACGACCGCTGCGATCTGCGTGTCAAAGACCATTTATTTTGAATCGGTTCTTGTCTTCAGCTTCTCCAGGTCTAGCTTCTTGATGTTTGGTCATGTTTTACGCAGATTCTTCACGATTGAACACGATTCGAGCAGTCATGAAGGTTATCACTTTGCCGATGTGTGCAAATAGCTGGATTGGCTCCAAGGAAACGCCCTTGACAATCAACACTCAGAACATCTGGAACAGTGCTCCCAACCGGAATGGCGTCGACCATAACAGTGCGATATGCGTCAGTGGTTCCAGTGGCATCCTCAGGAAGGTAGCAAACTGGATGCTGCGGCACCACGGTGGAACTGGGCAGACCCTCCCGCGCTTGTCTTGCTCACGGGACCCCCTTCCTCCGCAACGGCCTGCATGACCTCCTCGCTCTCATCAATCTCTTCTCGCCCAGCCTGCAAGAGGATCCTCAGTTCCTGATAGTGACAGCATTGAAGCTCTCACTCCGATTTCGTCAACCGGCGCCCAGCCTTCCACTCCTGCCGAAAGTTCGGTTCCAGGAATTCGTTGACCACAACGGCGGCCTCGTTGCGAACGCTCAAGAGCTCGAAATCCTCACACAGGGGCGGGAGGCTGGCTCCAGGACGGACGACCGGCGAGTTGACGCCCTTACTAGCCTATTTAGACGGGTGTTCTCCGCGTACTCAATCAGACCGTGGACCTCGTCGTGATACCAATCGCATGATTCCTCTACGAAACCCTTTCTTCCGCGTATTCAGGCGTTGATTGACAAAGGCACACCGTGGTCACCGGGGCCTGTTTTGGCGCGGGATGCCCTGAAACGAGCGATCTGTATGTCGATATTTGAATGGTATGATGATAGCGACGAAATCACCCTAAAAGATGACTCTGGCCAAAGCACTTGTCACCTCCACGCACCAAGAGAGAGAGCCTTTGACTATTCCTTCAACGAAGCCAATGAGGAGCGCTGCAGCATCATGTATGGGGCGTCTGCCGCAAGGGACGGTGCAACCAAGTCAGCATACGCCAACAAGGGACGGTGCAATCAAGTCAGCATACGCCAACAAGGGA